AAGCATTTGTGAAATGTTAACTTAGAATTACAAGTCCTTGTTGTCGTCCAAGGGTACCTACAAATTCAATTTGTAGAATTGCTATGAATGTAGTAACAGTATGTGTTGCAGCAATACAAATATTGCATGTTTCTTTACAGGTTTGTCCTTTTAATTCATGACCGGAAATTGGCAGAAGCATCTGCATTTCGACTCAACTGCTGGAGATCTTTTTCTGATGTAAAGGAATATCATTTTGTTGGATGTGAACATGTGAGCCATGGGACTATGTGAACCTCGGGACTGTTGCTGGAGTAATGCTCAGTACTGGTCTCTCATAACCTGGATGTAATTTGAATGGCGTAAGGCTGGAGGAAGAGATCAGATGTTACAGATGACCTTAATAGTCCATCACCTGAATCAAAGACATTCTTCAGTGAGATGGATCTAAACGAAGTAGGTCTTGGCTCTGGCTGTGATGAAAATTTTGGGGAGGACAGTATGTCTAGTGGACTTACTGTTGAGTTGCCACCTGACTGGCTCAAGCCAATGGAAGAAGATGAAGATAATGGAGCTGTGGGTCCTAAGATCCCTAGGAAAGTGAGAGGGTAAGTGTGTTTTTGCTAGTTGGTTTGTTTGAAGGTTTAGAAAAAACTTTGAAGCATAATGTTAAAATTGTCTTGTTTCTATCATCAAAAGCAGAGTGGGTTATTCGGCAGAAATGTTGGACTCGCCGCCCAAGCAGTGAGAGACTTGTGTAGAAACATTGACATATGCCCCTTTTACATCGAAATCTGGGTGGTTCGCATTTGTGTTTCTAATGATTTGGGTTTGGTTTAGACATTTCACTCCACAGCGACATTCTAGTTCTACTTGGTAACGTTGTTGTGAATGCGAAAGAAATGTGCAATCTCACTTTTAATTTCTCATCGCACAGTTGAGCTCTCGCTGGTCTTTAGCAATCAGAGAATTGAAGGTCTGCACCTCCTCATTTGGCCCTGGTCAAGTGATCTTCTTTTGAAAAGCAGCACAAAGTAATGGTACAATTGTTTGCTGTCTGTTATCGTTTTTGTTTAGGAATTTGTGATGGCACAGGCAGTGGCTATTCTTTTTTTGGCCAGTGAGTGAGCTCATTAGTATATATGAACTTGGCCAATGTACGTTTTTTTTTCTGGCTGCTGCCGATACTTGAAAATCTTGGTAGGCACGTGTTTTTTAATATAAAAAATGTAATAGTGCATAAATTAAAATAAATACATAAATAAATATAGGATTGTCAAATAAACATCTTAAGTTGCTTTAAATAAACAATATAATTTTACAAAGAAACAATAGTAGACTTTGTAAATACTCTGTCTAAAACAAAATAAGCACTATTTTATTTTAAAGCTACTTTAACAAGACGTACTTTGGTTTCTATAGCATGCCCTGTTTATTTTTTCTGCGTTTCTTTTACGTTCTTTTTCTGATTTCTACAACACATAAACCACCATTAAGTCTTATACAGCGTAGTCCCGCTTTACTCCACTGTGATTGGCTGTTAATATGACATTGATGAGCAGGATGTGCTCAATTGTCTCACGTGAAGTACTTTTTAGCGCTATTTATAACATTTTTTTTGTTATTACTGCAAGTGTATATAGACAAGTTCTTGATAGACATCCAGTAATGAATGAATAATACAAGGCTCTGAAATGTGAAAATGACTGAATTCTCTAAGGCATGTCTAAAAGCATACAAAAAAAGTCAAGCTGTGGAGGATTTTATTACAATATAGCTAGGTTACTCTGATTTTTAAGGTTTAATTAATTTTAACCTACAAGGCATACATTTGTTAAATGCAGATCGGCTTCCCATATTGACATTTCTTACTCATTAACTTCAGTAGTGGAGGGAAGGGGGGCATTACTATTGGGCAAATTTTCCCATCTTGATGGCTAATATAAATTTTTCAGTAATGTAAAAAAACTGCAGATATGTCTGATGTAGTGAATGCCGTGCCAGACATGTATGCACCATTGCACAGGGCGATGCAGGTTTGAATATAGATCTCGATATCCCTCTCCACTCTCTCTCGCTCTCCACTTCCTGATCTTCTTCACTGTCACATCTGAAATAAAGGCAAAAAAATTCTAAATAAATACCGGTAAATATAAAAAATGCTCAATATATCAGCCTGACTGTAAGATAAAAAAAAAAGACAATACAATCACGCAAATGTTACATAAAATCATATAAATAAAGGGTTTTGAACAAAAGAGCCAGAAAAGTAATTATTTAGGAATCCTGTAAAAAATAAATGCTATTTGTAAATCAGTTAATGAACCTTTTAAAATAATAATAGGGTCTCTTAAACAGGCTTGATCAGAAATTTGATCAATATTCTCTATATTCCTCGGTTTTCATAATCACACAGTGCAAAAGTGAAACGGGGGAGAGGTCGACCTCGGAAGCCCAGAAATGGAATTACCAATGCGGTGGATAAGGTACGTGAAACTCTTTCATAAAATGTAATTTTTTTTTTGGTCTAAATTATATATTAAGAATTATCGTGCAATTTTTAATGGTAGAACTATTAGAGCTGTAATAATATATCATGGCGGATTATTTCGCATAATAAAATTGTGACAATACGTATCGTGGAGTTACTGGGAGTAATTATGATTCTTGTCACTTCTGAAACTTCTTTGCCTTGTTTAATGTATTTTTTACTAGAAGCAACTATTTATTGACTTAAATTTTAAAGGAGAAAGATTATAAAATTAGCTCTTGCTAATTAAGGTATAAAAAGGTGAATTAGTAATGCAAACATTAACACTGCCCCCCTAGTGGATGGATGGTATCAAATGTTCTCATACAAATTCTTAGCTTTGTTGTCTCAAAACTTTTTGCACACATTATAATCATTTTTGTTTAATTACAAAAATAGTGTTGTAAAATATTGTATCATAGACATAATGTCGAGGTATGTTTTGAATTGTTACACCCATACATCAGTACAATCAAGGATATTTTTATGAATATGTCTGGCATATATTATTCTAAATACAGAAATGTCCTGTATCGCTCAAAAACTAAGAAGAAATGTGTATAAAATGCTCAATAAGGGTATTTTGAGGATTTTCACTTCTTAGCTTTTGAGATTTCTATATTAAAATAAAACAAAAATAATGCATATTGCGCACAATTTTTTGGAATAATCTTTAGAACAAGGATAGCCCTTGTTTCTAACACACTTGTGATTTTAGATAGCTTTGTATTATACAGTAGTGATCGGGATCGAGCGAGAACTCTCCGTGAGAGACGGTGGCGTCAAATCTTGCTTCAATATTATGATGAAATCTCTGTTTTCTAGATTATAATATTTAGATTTTAACAGACTCATATTAAATGATCAGCTATCTGAGGCATGTTTAATATTTAATATGCAAGTCTAGCTCTTTTATATGCAAAATGAACAATTGTGCTATCTTTTACAGTTGCCGTTTTAGCTAAATGTTACAGGATTGATAACTAAGCGTAAACTTATTTGTTCTGCTCTTACGGTCCGTTCATTCTCTTCATCAGTGGAGGACAACTTCTTCTGCTGCCAAATTAAACCATCCAAAGAAACATCAAAAAGCCATCATTCAAAGCCCCAACACCACAGCACAGACAGACCACTCTGCCCAGGAATCTCCGGGGGCCAGCATTCCTGAGTTGAAGAATCCACCGCGTCTCACCAGGGCTTCAATGCTCAACGCTGACACTTCCAAGAGATTCGTCCACTCTCCTTCTCTTAAAGTAGGAAATGTTTCCGTTCGAACAGAGCCTGGGCAATATACTTCCGAACTGCCTCTGCAGTTGTGGCTTCATCCATCACTTGAGCGCATTAGCCCTTCGAAAATTCAGAGTGGAGGTTTGCCAAATCTCCCGGAGGCTTCATGTAATGGAATTTCAGAGATTTTTCCTAGGATCAGGTAAGTCAAATATTTTTTGAGGCTAAGTCTGTTCGTTATGTATTAAATACTGATGGGTTGACTGGCAAATATCCAGAAGTTGTGTCTTGTAATGGAGAGGTTTAGTCTGACATCATGCTCCACCTCCAGGCCTGGCTCTCCACTTTCTTATTGACTGTTGATGGCAGTAAGGGCTAAATTCCATTTTGATCCTTTTTATATCAATGTTTTCCTCTCCAGTGAATGTGAAAACTGCGGCACTCCGTTTTCTATTCAGAAGCCTGGAGACAAGTTTTGTTTCAAGTGTCGAGATAAAGGTATTTTTTGTGGATTCTCATGTACAGAAACGATGTTAAGATTAGTGTTTCTTCAGTTCTCTATTTCTTATTCATGCAGAAGAGAAGAACCCATCTCCTGCAAACATAGTGTTTAAGAAGGTATGTGTCCAAGTCTTTTCATATTTAGTTTCCTCTTCATTTGTAACCACAATTTAAATTAATAAATGACATAAAAAATCCATCAGGAATTTTTCAGTCATCATCTCTTTTTCATCTAATTTGAAAAATGGCTTTTTTAACACACCACCAAGATGTAGATCATGTTTTGAGATCAACGTTTTGTTGCTATTAGTGAGTTTAAGCTGCTGTTCAATCACTTCTATTGTAATTTCTCCCAAATGTAGGTATATTTCTCACTCTGAACTAAGTTTTGGCTGAAAACTGTATTTTTTCCCAGCTCCCAGCTTAGCATAGATCAACGCCAATTGGACCAGTTGCATTTCAGTTGACAACTAGATGCTCATGTTTGTATACGAACTTTGATGTTGCTTTGTTAAAGTGTAGTTTAAAAGTATTTTTAACAAAAGTTTCCCTATGAGTAACATAAAGAAGACCCCATCTCTCTATTATTTTCATAAGCTGAGATATGCATATGCAAAACTGGTTTCTATGGTAAACATTCTAGTTGCTATGGACAGGTCAGTGACAATACAATGTTGCCTTTACATTTACATTTATGCATTTGGCAGACGCTTTTATCCAAAGCGACTTACATTTGAATGAACATATTTTTTCTGTCAGTTCTTGCTTTCCCTAGGATTTGAACCCACAACCTTTGCGTTTTTAGCACAATGCTCTACCAACTGAGCCACAGGAAAGCCTTTGTCACTCTTAAGTTATATAAACCAACCCCTAAGTTGGTTTGGTTGCTAAACAGTTCGGTTGCTAAGTATTTAGGTGGTTACTATAAGTAAAATGAAACAAACCACCATGATTTTCATAGGGTGAGATATAGTTGCCCTTTTCACTATAAGTCATATGAACCAGCACTCATATCTCTATTATTTCAAAGCTAAGATAGAGTTGCTAAGGTAAATGGGGTTGCTAAGGTAAACAGTTGCTAGGGAGCTGTCATTGATGTAATAAAACATTTAAGTTGTTACTTTGATTCACACAAACAAACCTCCATTACTGCTTTCATCTTGTAGAAATGTACCGGTAGTTTTCCTTTATTTTAGATTCAGTTTACTCCCATTTGTCCTGCTTTGCTTCATATTCCTTATGATTTTCAAGGTGGGGCAGGATCAGTGGAAGGTTGGGAAAAGAGAATGGATAAAAAAGAAATTTCTGGTAATCATCATCATCATAATGTCATCATTACAAAATACAACTGGTGTCACTGTTTGTTTTCTGCAATGTTTGAGCTTATTTAGAAGCGTTGGTTGGGCCATACATGAGTTCCTCACACTTAAATAAAATTCCTCTCTTTTTTTTTATTTTTTTTTTTGGTGCAGGCCCCAAAACCCAAATTAAAGAAGGAAAAAGCGGTGAGTGTCTACATTCTGGTTTTGTTTTATTGTGTTGAATGAGCGTTTTTAGCTCGTGCAGAACTGGTATTTTGATTGGCTGATATTACTTTAGGGCCAAGACTTTAATTGTGAGTTTGGAAATTAGGAGAAAAAAATAGAGCAGGTTGTGGTTAATACGTATTATTCTGAATATTTTTATATGATTATTTTAACTTTATTTGATTTCTTTTTCTACAGAATAGTATAACAAAATAAACTAAAATTGTTAAAACTAAAAGTATGATGTTTTATTCCTAAATTCTTCAAATCAGGACAATTCTGTGCTTATCTAATTTGAACTTCCACAAAGTTTGAGTTGGATCTAGAATAAATTAATAATAATAAAAATACTGTTTGTGTGTGTTATTTAGGATACTGCTCCAGATGGTGCTGAGGAGGATGAAGATGACGTGAGTGAATAACAAAATACAAAACATGGCATAAATAAAATGCAATAATAGATAAGTGTTTTAAATCCATCAAGGTTTGCAATTATTTTAGCATAGCTTAGCATAGATCATTGATTCCAATTGGACCAGTAGCGTTTCATTTCATTCATTCCTTTACAGTTACTTTGTGTTGTAAGACCAGCAGAAAAGAATCCATTGATATTGTATAATTCTCAAAAGGAACCAGGTAATTCTGTAAGCTACCTGTAATGTGTCTCAAAACATTTTTGTCAAGTTTGCGGTTTGAAATTGGGAATTGGCCGTCAAGCTTTGGCTGAGAATGTGTTGATAGTCTCATAACTATACAGTTTTAAAATATCGTCTATGCCCCTCTGTTCATGCTATTTAAGGCATTTCTAATGCATTACTTATAATGACAATATCCAAATGTTTGGTGAAGTGGAAGAGAATTGCAAACCCTTTATATGGTGTTATAGAAGAAAAGTGAAACAACATTTTTTTTGCCAAATAACCTTTAATATTGTAAATATCAGAGTTTGTTATCCTCACTGTCTTGCTTTAGGGTTTAAAGAAGCGTAATCGTAGAAGGTGTGGCCAGTGTCCAGCGTGTCTTCTTGACTCAGACTGTGGCAAATGTGACTTCTGTATCGACAAGCCCAAGTTTGGTGGAGTGAACAAGAAGAGGCAGAAATGTCGCTTACGCCAGTGCAAGTTCCAGTCCAAGTTTCAGTTTCGACGAGTAAATCATTTTAATTTCACGTTGTCTTTTGTACAACATAAAAGGGATATTTTTTTTATGTTATCACATATGCCAGTTTAAATACATTTATGTATCTGTTAATGTTAGGAGCTTATACAGAGAACAACACTTGCAAATGGCATCACACCAAATCGTAAGTTCAAAAGGCAAAAGAAGAGACTGAAGAGAGGCCGAAGAAAGCCCTGGGAGAAGGACTATGATGATGAAGAGGAGGAAATAGGGCTGTCAGATGAAGATGATGAAGAACTAAGTTACAAGGTGATGGGGAAAAAGCTGGATTACAGTTTTAAAGAAGAAAACGGAGTTGTGTACGTGGAGGCTGACATCGATGCCGACATGCCGTCAGTCACTGAAGAGGTTTGCTGTTTTTCATTTATTATAGTAATAATAACTAGACTGTGCATTTTCTGAAGAAATTCTGAAAGAAGGCAAATATTTGAGCTGGTATTACAATCACTTTATCACTATGAATGGCAAAATCCAACCACTGTGTCTCTACGGTTTTCTGGAGCAGAGATATAAGTCGGCTGCTAGGGTGAACAAACAGTGGTTGCTAGGGTGTGGTCACTGACATTTAATCCCTTATCCGCTTATAACGATACTGTACATTTCCTAAATATGAAAGATGGCAAATATTTGAGCCTTATCTTCACTGGTATTATAGCTGAAAATAAATATAGTATACACTCATTTAAATCATAAAACAATCGCTTTGAGTGGATTAATCCAAATCCTGTGTTTAGGATTTTCTGGAGCAGAAATATAGGTCTGCTGGTACGGTTGCTAGGGTAAACAGCGGTTGCTAGGTTTTGGTTACTGACATTTAATCCCCTTTCCACTTAGATTAATACAACTCCCATGTCTCTACTATGTTTCAATTAGAAAATATTCAACTTTGAAAGTGGATGTGGCTCAACAGATTTATGTAGTGATTGGCTGAATGAGTCCTTTGACCCACGTATGTCTGTATTACCCTCCAGTGCCAATCAATTATGCAGTCATTTACAATGTGAGCCTATGAGATTTAATGTGATGGCCAAATTCCCGATAATTTTCATTGGCAATGTTAAAGGATTGACAAACTTTGGCCCTTTCTAGAGGATTGCAAAGTTAAAGTTCTCTGTTTAACAAAGGTCCCTGTTTTAACAGGATTTATATTACAACATGTCAGACTCCCAAGATTCATCTCAAGTTATGGATTCAGCCCCTTCGGCTCCCAACGTTCTGCCACAGCTGACTGATCCCATCAGCTCTGTAGCGATGGTAGAAGATATGAATCAGAACGGGTTTCTCCAGATTGAGATGGTCAGAGTGGGTTCTCCACCAACACATTTCTTTGGAGAAGCACTGAACGCACAGCAGCTAGTTTCTGGAAGTCAGCTGGAGCCTACACCAGTGGTGAGTTGTATTAGCCAACTAAATTACCCCAAGAAGCTGAAAATGTTTTTTTTTTTTTTTTTTTTTTGTTGAAAATAAAGTAAACGGTTCTGGTTAGAACACAATGTGCAGGTGTTAATATCTAAAAAAAAAAATGTTCTGGGGTGTTGTGAACCCCAGGAGATGCTTTGTTCCAGGGTGTTATTAAACAGTTCTACCTACCAGTATAATCTATTCTGAAAAAAAAAAAACAATAACTGAAGTTAATATTTTAATTTGGAGCAAGCCAGTGCATGGAAGAGCACATCTGACTATCAACTCCATTTTAAAGATGGAGAGCTGAGCTGTAACATTGCTAGATTACACCAACTGCCCCGTGGTGTATTGGACGGTGTGCCGGGCATATACATGCAGTTGCACAGGTCGACTGTGGCTCGAATCCTGAACATGTTGCCATTTCCCAACTTTCTTTACTCACATCTCTACCTGTCTTCATCACACTGTCCTATCTGTTCCAAATAAATAATATAATAAATAATCTTTTAAAAAAGAAAAACTGCAAACTTTCTCAATGCTGTGTTGGTTGTTTTTTATTATTAATAATTATTATGTTTATGGAATTTTTAAACACAAACGGCTAATATCTACCACCTTGATGGCACCTAATTATTTCAAATCTGCTGAAAATGTGTTATTCTTCTACAGATTGTTTCTGTCGCTGTTTGATTTGCAGAACTTCATCAGACCTTTAGTGAAATTGTGTAAACTGGATTGTTGTGTCCTTAGTGTTGATAACAAAAAAAACTGAAATGTCTTACATCTAAATATCTGACCTGCTTCCCCAGATCACTCAGATCTTCAGCCTGGCGGCTACAGAGACGGAATCTGACCGTGATTTGGCGCTGATGGAACTCTTTGCATCCCTAAACCAAACTGTACTACCCGCTCACTGGATTGCTGTCATTTCCCGGGGACCAGTTATTCAGCTATTGCAGTGCTCAAAGCTCTCAAACATGGCCGACACTGTGGTTCAGATCCAGAAGGGCTTCTTCTACCAGGTGTCAGTGCAGAACCAGCCTCTTCTACTCACGCACAGCATCTACTCACAGCATCCTATATACATGAGGCGAGTGGAGGACGTAGCCTCGCTCCTGTTGGACCTGGAGGGATGGAGTGTGTGTCAGGGCTATCCTAAGCTTGACATGTGCTTGCCCTGGGAACCAAGGATGTGTGTGAGAGCTGCCCTGTGTGACTTGATCATTCCTAAGGACCAGGAACACTGTGGGAAGTGCTCACAGCCAGTGGAGAGATGAAAAAGTTCATAACGTCAGAGTTGAATTGTTTCATTACTGATTTCTGTTCAACACTTTGTCAAATGGTGCTTCCATTTTCTGGTTTCGTTTTCAGAAACACACTTTTCCAATCTCATTTTCAGATTGAAGTTATTGGTAAATCGAGGGTGAATGAGGCACAGGTGTGGAACATAAACAGTTCTTACAATAAATATTTAAAGTCGGTGTTGTGGTTATTTTTTAGAATAAAATTGTAATTGTGGCTATGTACTAGTGCTCCGGCAATTGGAGCAGGCGTATATCCCCAGAGAAAGTTCGAGAAGGCTGTGTGTGGCTGTTTCTAATTTAGCCTCTGATCAGTAGACCAATGGGTACTGAAACTAGGGACTTTAAGTAGCAATAGCTGGCTGGATAGCAGATAGAAGTGATGTATGAAGTTTATAATAACACAAAATAATAGTGTCCGGTGGGAC